CCAAAAAGTGGGGGGGGGGGGTGTTAGTACTAGCGCGAGCAAGTTTACAAAAGCGAAATCAGCAGTTAGCAATTGTAAAATGTAACTCTAATTTTTAATCTTTCAGCTGCACAGTGGCTCCTGGGTAAAGTGCTAACCTTATACTGAAGAGCTCAGGGACAGCACCGAGGTCCAGTGTTCAAGCCCCAAAACTGACAATTATTATTATTGATATTATTAAGGACATTTTCTCGATGTTGGTGATCCAGGGAAATTTTGAAGTTCCTATTCCCAATAGTTGGGTGATATTAAGTGTTTCCCTTAATTCAAATTATGTTTTGGTTTTCTAATTGCAAAAATGTAGCATTTTGCTTCTCCATGACCAGAAGGGAACATGCTCCCTAAAGCTATTGAACATTCCTATCACAATAGAAACCTGTATTTTTGGGGGGAATGACAAACTAAAGGTTCAATAAAGTGGCTTTTAACACCATGAATTCAGGGCCTCAGTCTCTCACTTGGCTGTTTGGCTTCCAGCTACAGCTCTCCTATTTGAGCCATACATCCAGTCTGCCTCTTCGATGGTTTATTGTCTCTCACCTCTCAGCCCCCTGAGTGGTTTACATTACAGGCATGAGCTACAAGTATGGGAGCCTACTTGAGGAGATGGTTTATAGTCATTTCCCATTCATAGATTCTATGTTCCCTCCAGATAAATTTTAACTGTTGCTTCTCTTTTTCTCCCACAATTTAGCATTTAATTTCCTCTACAATAACAATGAAAAAAAGCATAGCTAACATTTATTGAGTTTTTACATCTGCCATCACTAATCACTTTTCCAACAAGCCTAAAAACCTCGAGGCATTTATGAATACTGCTAGGGCAAAATCCTGCGCAAACCCTAATTCTTGTCATCATTGGTCATTATTACTTGAATTTGAAGGGTTTGGGGTTTTTTTGAAGGCTAGGCTAACAGACTCCCTCCTCCCACTGCCACACCCCAGAGTTCCTCCTGGGTCATACCTGCCCTCTTTTTCCATTCAGTGCCCTGAGCCACTTTATAATCCTCAGTCCATAATTTTAGTCATAAAGGCAAGACAAGCATTTGTGGGCCATCCCAAAAACTTGTTTTATGAATAGGCTCAGAATCCAATCTGACAGCTAATACATTTTCTGTGTGTGTGTGTGTGTGTGTGTATGTGTGTGTATGTTGTTTTGTCTTGTCTTGTGTCAAGGTGAGGAGCTTGAAAACAGAGCTTTGTGCTTTAACTCCACTGGCACTCATTTCTTTGGGCCACAAGTCCACTTCCAGCTTTTGTCTGGTTAATTTTAGATACAAGTCAAAGTTTTGTTTGCCCAGAGTAACATCAAACTTGGATCATCTGATTCAGCCTCCTAAGTAGCTAAAATTACAGTGATAAGCTAAATTGAAAGCTTGTAGCACTGTTATGACGTTCTGTCTAAAGATTTCCAGAAATACTAACATCTTATATCAGGATTTACAAGTATCTAATAAGTCGCAAAAATATTGTGTGTGTGTGTGTGTGTGTGTGTGTGTGTGTACGTGTGCACACTACTACTGTGGATTGAGTTCAGGGCCTGGCTGCTGTCCCTTAGTTTTTGTCACCCAAAGCTGGCCCTCTTCTATATGGGCCACAACTCCACATTTGACTTTTTGCTGGTTAATTAACATGACTCTCAGTTTTTTTCCTGGCTGTACATGCTGCCAATTGTAATCTTCATATCTCATCTATCTGGGCTCCAGTCTCCTGTTTCATAACATGCGATCAATTATTAGAAAAAGCCAGGTGCTGGTGACTCCCTATAATCCTAGCTACTCAAGAAGCTGAGATCTGAGGATTCAGATTCTAAGCCATCCCAGGCAGAAAAGTCCCTAGAGATTCCTATCTCCAATAAACTATTCAAGTCTGGAAGTGCTGCTATGGGTCAAGTGGTAGAAATGCTAGCCTGAGAACAAAGAGGATCAGGGACAGTGCCCAGACCTGTCCAAAAAAAAAAAAAGTCTCAGGACTTTCCTGGCTCAGCTGACTTCAAAACACAATCATCAGAGCTCACCGTCCCCAGTAGCTAGGATTACAGACATGCCCCACTATCCCCAACTCCTCCCAACCAAGAGCCCTGACTACATCTGCACTGGTCTTGTTGACAGTTATGTCTCCAGGGTTCAGCATTGTGCCTCTCACTAAATGGGTCCTCAGAAATACTTGTGTGTGTGTGTGTGTGTGTGTGTGTGTGTGTGTGTGTGTTTGTCTGTCTGGCTGGCTGGCTGGCTGGCTGGCTGTCTGGCTGGCTGGCTGTGTCTGTGTCTTGGTGTACTGGGGCTTAAACTCAGGGCCTAGGTTCTGTCCCTTGGCTTTTTCTCTCAAGATTGATGCTCTACCACTTGAGCTACAGTTCTACATTTTGCTTTTTTACTGGTTTTCTGAAGAGTCTCGTTAACTTTCCTGCCAAGATGGCTTTGATTCATGATCCTCAGCTCTCAGCCTCTTGAGTCGCTAGGATTACAGACATGAGCCACTGATGCCTGGCAGAAACACTTTTTTTTTTGTTTTTTGTTTTTTTTATTTTATTTGTGAACATACTGTACAGAGGGGTTACAATTGCATGGGCAGGTTAATGCGTACATTTCTTACCAAGCATTGCAGCCTCCTCTTTTGTTTACCCTTCCCATCCCTTCCCAGCCTCCCCCCCCCCCCCCCCCCCCCCCCCTCTCCCCCCCCCCCCCCCCCCCCCCCCCCCCCCCCCCCCCGCACCGACGTTGTAAAGCTCGTTTTGGACATGACAACTTGTACTTCTCATTGTTGCATCAGGTCCACCTGTATCCTTAAACAACTGGTTTTTCCCCATCTCCTCCACAAGTTATACTGACATCAAATATAGTGAAAGCAGGGGTTATACTGTGGGGGAGGGACATACAAAGCAACAAAGAGATAATCTTATAAATGCATTAGAAACACATGCATGAAAGAAAAAAACATTTAAATACATATCTAAGGGTTCATTTTCCTGACATCACATTATCTGACCTTTTCCGCTTGACTCATACATATACTAGATATTGCAAATAAGGGAAACCATGGGACCTATGTTTCTTTGGGCCTGGCTTACTTCACTTAATATAATTTTTTCCAAGTTTTTCCATTTCCTAACAAATGGGGCAATGTCATTCTTTCTGATGGAGGCATAGAATTCCATTGTGTATATATACCACATTTTCTTGATCCATTCATCTACTGAGGGGCATCTGGGTTGGTTCCATATCTTAGCTATGGTAAATAATGCTGCAATAAACATAGCTGTGGTGGTAGCTTTAGTGTGGTCTTATTTGTAAGCATTTGGGTAAATGCCCAAAAGTGGGATTGCTGGGTCATAGGGGAGTTCTATGTGGAGTCTTTTGAGGAACCTCCATACTGCTTTCCAAAGTGGTTGAACAAGTTTACATTCCCACCAACAATGAAGTAAGGTTCCTTTCTGTCCACATCCCCTCCAGCATCTGTTGTTATTAGAGCAGAAACACTTTTTGAATAGTTAAGGAAATGATAGAAACTTCTTTGCATCTTCACCACACTTCTAAGTCAATCTTTCATTTCCCCCACTTCCAACTTTGTCTCCATCCATGTACACCAGACATTTTCAAGAATCCTCTATTGTTTAAAAAAACTAATAATTATTATAAAATACCAACAATTGAACTAACTCACCTTGACCAAGCAATCAAATAAAACTTCTCAGTTTAATGCCCAATATCATGCTTGATTAGGTCTCTTCCTGCCTTTATAGCCTCATCTTTCCTCACTCAATTTCACACTTGTTTTTAACTTATAGACACACACACAAACTGCTTTGGGCTCTCAGGACACTCATTCAATGCTATATTCATATTTTTAGTTTGTTTAGATTCCCACACCTCAGTCTGTGATCTTGAATGGGATTCTGGAACCTTTCCATGGTTTATCTCAGCTCCCTACCTCTTAGCAGGAACCAAATCAGAACATCAAGAAAAACAGCTGTCATTCAAGCAATGTTTCTTTGCAGCAAAAAATGGGAAACCAAGAAGAATCACCACCAAAACATGCAGTTCATTTGGGTAGGGAATGTTTATTCAGGAGGGGAGAAAACTGACATCTCATCATGTGAGTGCATATGGGTGCACTTAGTGTGGCAACAGGCCCCTTCCAACTTCCCAAGTCGTGGAAAAGAAGCTTTATCTCTTCTCTGAGTTGAGATATTGGTATTGTAATGAAGGAAAGTTTGGCTCTTGGTTAGGATAGCTTGTGAAACATTATTTCTGAGAAATAACTTCAAGGAGATTTATTAGGAAAGCCACCATAATTGGAGGCTCAAAGTACTGAAGGCAGCAGCCTGTTTCCTGCTCTCCTGGACTGCTGAGTGGGAGAGAGCCACATCCTCCTTTCCCAGCCTTTCTATAAAAGGCCAATTCTACTTTCCTGCCAATTGTCAGAGGTCTCTTGGGAGGACTATTTATCTCTGCGCCCTATGACACATTTATGATGGATTAGTGGTGGAAAGTAGAGGTTATTTTTCCCCCAAATAGATAACAAATTGCTCAGAATAATTTGGTGGATTAGCCACTTGATCCTCCTTTATTGAAGCATTACCTTCATTACAAAATAAGTGATTAGATATAAATCAGATCTGCATCTGAGCACTGTTTTCCATGGCTCTGTGTATTGATTTTTGCATGTGAAATGCCAAAGTTTTTAAATTATATAGTTCTTTATGTAGGTCTTGATAACTAGGAGGCCAATCTTTTTTTTTTTTTTCTTTTTCTTTTTTAAACTCAGGGCCTTGTGCGTGCTGTGCTTGGCAGGCATTCTGCAGATAAAATAGCTTCCAAAGCTTTGGAATCTGCAGACTCTTCTCCAAGCCCCCAAGCCCCGCCCCAACTTCCACCTGTTGGGGGGGAGGGAAATTCTCCCCAAACCCCGCCCCTGTTTCCACCTTCGTGGGAGGGCTCTGCTCAAACCACGCCCCTAGTTCCACACTCGGGGGCGGGCTCTGCCCAAGCCCCGCCCCTGCTCACACGCTGCTGTAGCAGCAGCAGCGGCAGCAGCAGCAGCAGCCGGAGCTGGCGTGCACACTGCAGGCATCTGCTGCTGCGATGGCACTAGCCACAAGCGACGCCGCTTACTTCCGGAGGAGCAGCCTGTTGTGGTTCACGGTCATCCCCGTGTCCTTCGGGTACTACACGGTACGGGCGGTGGCCCGCGTCTTCCGCGTCCCCTCCTAGCAGGAGGCGCGCGTGGTGGGCCGGGAATAGAAGGGGCGCGTGCGCAGTGAGGACTCCCGGACTCTAGGTCGCGCCTGTAGGGACCGAGAGGGAAAAAAAAAAAAATGAAAGTGCGGGCGCGCACGTGAGCCTGGGGCTCGCCGCGTTCTAGATCCTGAGGATCCGGCCCGCCTGGTTTTCCCTGGGTGGGGCGGGGACTGCTTCGAGTCCTAGGCTTTCAAGATGGTGGAGGCGAAGTCCGAGGTCCGGCGGAATGCCTCCACCTTTTTCCGCACAGCCCGACCTCTGCCCTCGCTGGTTACTGTCCTGATGCTGGGCTACGTCGCGGTAAGGCGTGCGCTGCGCGGCGCATCCGTTTTGGGTCCACCCGGCCCTCGTAGTGTGAGGGAGCGCTCTGTGTGTATGGGGAGGCGGGGGGTGAAGGAAGAGGTGGTCTTTCTGCGCATGTGCGCTGGGCGGTTGCCTAGGTGACCGGGTACGCGGGTGCTGGTGGGCTCCTCGCAGGGATTTTGCTTCTGGATGTTCCCGCCCGTGCGTCTTCCTCCCTGCAGAGGTTCCCAGGCCTGGAGTGGGATAGTCGAGTTGACTGCCATCGGCCTGTGCTTGAAGCCGTTGGGATTGCTTGGGAATCAGTTCATTTCTGGAAGGGGGGTGAATGTAAAGGATGGGTAGGATTTAGGGTACTGCTGGGCTTAGGTGTGCGAGTAAGTTCTGCAGGCCAGGACGGCTTTTATCTAGCTGGCAGGCGGTTTAAAGGAGAATGGGGGGAAACGCTGGGAAATACATGGTGGAGGGGGGCCAAGTTGGTTCGATTATGAAGGAAAGTAGAGCCATTTTCGATATTTCCCAGGAGAACCTAGAGAATGGGCATTTGTCCTGAATGGTCGGTGGATATGTGGCGTGTGACTGACTGACACCGCCGTCCTGGTTTTCCCATGTATGACACGGAGGCCTGAACTGAACCTTTTCTAAAGCCATTTCTGTCTTATGATTCTATGTCTCTGGTTAGACAATAGAAGGAAAAGACTTTACATTGAGATCATTGTAGAGCAGGTAGAAAACTGCCTCTTCTGTTCCATTGGTTTGGGGAGTGATGGATCTGAATGGAACAATAAAATGTGGAGCTGTTAGCACATGATTATCTTCAGAGCTTAAAGACAGACTGCAGGGAAGTTGATGCTACAGAAGCCTTGTATGACTCAGTCTTAACTATTAGAATTTCACAAACCTAATATAGTTTTTCCAACTCGGTGAAGTAGATCATTCCCAGTTGTAGAGCTACCAAAAAAGAGAGAAAAGGGAGTTTGATTTTGTTGGTTTTTTTTTTAAACCTTTAAGTAGTTATATAAAAGGTTAATTCAGGTTGTGAATTCAATGCATCTTGATCAGTGTCACCTCTGTTATCATTCTCTGCTGGGGGAAAAAAAAGGAGTTGTAAATTAAATGGGAGTTTGAATCAAGTCATAATTTCTGCAATAAGAAGATAGCCAAGATGTATAAACACTTAAAGATTGTTAAAAAAAAAAAGGGGGGGAGCTGGGAAGGTAGCTCAGTGATAGAGCGCTTGCCTTGCATGCATGAGGCCCTGGGTTCGATTCCTCAGCACCACATAAGCAGAAAAAAAAAAGCCAGAAGCGGTGTGGTGCTATGGCTCAAGTGGTAGCGTGCTAGCCTTGAGCTGAAGAGCTGAAGGACAGCGCCCAGGCCCAGAGTTCAGGCCCCATGACCGGACCCCCAAAAAAAAAAGATTGTTAAAAAAAAAAACCTTCATAAAATAATGGTTTTTCCTGATGTTCAGAAAGAAAAAGAGCCAGACAGCCTAGGCACTAAATCTGATAAGCACATAGTTTACTCTGCATACATTGTCCAATTAAGGTGCTTTTAGAAACTAAAAGTCAAGACCTGGGGACCAAATGCATTTGTGTCTTTGATCAGTAGTGGTTTTTTGTAGAATCACTATTCTTTGATAGCTACTCTCAAAAAAAAAAACCCCCAAAACTTGCTTTTAAGTAACCTAATAGTCATTGTGTGCCTTTGATTCTGTTTCAGTGGGTTGTCCTCTGGCCCCAGAGTATCCCTTACCAGAGCCTTGGGCCCCTGGGGTCCTTCACACAGTACCTGATAGACCACCATCACACCCTCCTACACAATGGGTAAGGAGAGCTGCAGAAATGGGTTGTGGACATTGTCGATCCAGTCTCTTTTGAGGTTTTTAAGTGATACTAGTCACATGAACATACCTTTCTTTTTAAAGTTGCTGTGTTAGATTTCACAAACAGGTTCTATCACCTTAAACCCAACTGACCTTTTGGTTTCTTTTATTTCAGGTTTTGGCTTGCCTGGCTAATTCATGTGGGAGAGTCCTTATATGCTATGGTATTGTGCAGGTAACTTTTCATAATAGGTCCTTGTCACCTTTCTCCTGTCTAGTGTAAGTTGCAAGGAGGCACAGTTAAATAATTCACACACTTTTAAGCTGAGAGCACTCTCAAGTAGAGCAAAACCCCTATACCTAAGCTGTGAGTCTGCCACAGAGGGAGTTCTCAGTGAATATTTGATGAATGAGTACCATTCACTTATGTTGGTTAATTAGTTACTTAGATGACTTTTGTTGTGTTTTAAAAGCTCTCTGTCTAGTCCCAACTACAGCAAATATTAGGGTCTGTCTTCTAGTTTGCAGAAGAGTTATACTTTATGTAAGCATAAATAGAAACTATGGTCTAATACAGAAGCTGATTGTGATAATATGAAATTGTTTTGCAGCTCATCGTTTTTGTATGTTTCTAAAAGTACCAAATTAGGTAGTTTATTATTGCTCATGGTTGTTTTAGATTTTTGGTTTGTTTGTTTTTGCTGGTTCTGGAGTTTGAACTCTTAGCTTTGAGCTAAGTAAGCAGGAGCTCTACCATTTGAGCCATTCCTTCAGCCCAAAGGTTAATTTGGAAAGGAATTACCCAACACAAATCTTTTCTGCATGTAGTTGGGCCTTTCAGGCAAGCTTCCTTTTAAACTAGCTGTGTCTGCAGGCAGCTTCCTGTCCCTCCAACATAGTACTCTGCAATTCTGCAAGGGTGTGGCCATGTTTCCTTACTCCCACCGGGCAGGCTGAACCAGTTTCTGCACTGAGATACTAATCCTTTTTCCCTATCCCGTGGTTTGATTTGAAGCTGGTTTCTGGGCTTGATTTGGGCACTTTGCATCTGTTGTAGTATGAATCCTATCAAAGCTGGATGAAATACATACTATTTTTCATACAGGAAAACTGTGTGAGTGCCTAAGTAATTATCCAAGCCACAGCCATTGGGGGCAAAGCTAGAATTCTCCTCTGGTCTATCTTCAAAACATTTGCTGTCACTGAGCACCAATGGCTCACACCCATAATCTTAGCGACTCTGGAGGCTGAGACAGGAGGATCACCATTTGAAGCTAGCCAGTGCAGAAAAGTCTGTGAAACTCTTATCCCCAATTAACCAGACAAAAGCCAGAGTGGATCTGTGGCTCAAGTGGTAGAGTGCCAGCCTTGAGTGGAAAAAGCTAAGGGACAGCACCAGGCCTGAAGTTCAAGCCCTAGTACGGGGAGGGTGGGGAGGCTGTGGGGGAATCTCTGAAGACATACTAGAGCTTTTGACCCCCCCGAATGGTCAGAAGCACCTGAGAAACAGTATCCCCAAATAACAGCAAACTGGTCCTCCAGGAACAGTGTACCATTTGAGATGCATCTAGAAAGGAAGAAAGATGAAAACAATATGACCTAAGCATTCAAATTCGTGAGACACAGCAAAATAAATCCAGTGGAACTTGATGGAAGTTATACATGAAACAAAATAAATTTAGAAGATAATATTTTACCCTACAACTGAATGGAACTCTAAAATTAAAATTCTGGTGTTTAATTTTGCTCGTTCTTTTTCAGGTCTAAAGGAATCACAGACAGCCGGACTCAGCTCCTCTGGTTCCTACAGACGTTTCTCCTTGGGATAGCATCTCTCTCCATCTTGATCGCTTATAGACCAAAGCACCAAAAACGCACTTGAATCTGTACTCTCTCCATTTGTACATTCCATTTTTTCTTTTTGGAGGTGCTAGGTTTACTTGATCATTCCACTTTCTAGGAAGTACCTGCCCTGCTAAGTTATTTAAGACCCTCTAATTAGGCATCTTTCTCTCCTGTGTTCTGTTTAAGCTTGACTAGGTCAGGTTGTTCCTTAAGAAAGAACTGGGCACCTGTGGCTCACGCTTGTAATCCTATAGCTACTCAGGAGGCTATGAACTGAGGATCACAATTCAAAACCAGCCCTGGCAGGAAAATCTGAGAGATTCTTATCTCCAATTAACTACTCCCGGAAATGCTGAAAGTGGAGTTATGGCTCAAGTAGTAGAGTGCTAGCCTTGAACAGAAAAGCCCAAAGACAGCACCAGGCTTTGAGTTAAAGCCCCAGGACAGGAAAGAAAGAAGAGAAAAAGAAAAGATTCTGGCTTTCCAGCCCTGCAAACTCACCAGCTTGGCAGAAAGCTCAAGACCACCTTCCCCAGGTCTTGGCTGTGTTGATGCTTGTCTGCCCTCAGCTAGGGCATTTATTGGGTTTGCCCATTGGTCACCTTTGCTCCCACTTTCCCATCAATGCACCATCCTCATCACCGCCATCTCTCTCCTTTCCCCAAATTTTTTCCCACCTTTTGAGACCTAGTTGGACATTCTCACAGTACCTGAGTTCCACACACTTGTATTAGGCACACTGATCCTTGGAAACTCACTTCTCAAACTACAGAGAAAAAGAACCAAACAGGGGCCTTGCTGAGGGATGACAGAGAAGCCTAGAGCCACCTGCTAAGACCCAACAGTGGGGTGGGAACATCCTCCCCCATGACGCCAGCCAGAGGAGATCCTACCCTGCCTGTGGCCCCTGGAACATCCAGCTCTGTAGCCTGAGGGGTCTGATGGCCCCTGCTCGATGCTCTTTCCTCTCAGGCCACATCGTAGACAGCTTTCCTTCCCCTGGCCCTGTCCTGAGGTGGGGATCTTCTGGACTGCAGACTGTAGAAGGCGCAAGAAATCACAATTCTCCTCAGCTGCCCAAGCCTGTCTACCTATATCATAAATATCCCAATCATTTTTGCTAGAAAAAGATCCCCTAACTGGTTTAGAGGGATGAAGGAGAGAGAAGAAGAAGGATGGAGAACAGCTAGGAAATCATAATAAAAAGACAGTGCAGTCATGTATGAAGCTGGCATAAGGAATCTGAGTGAACGCAGTTGATCAGTATGCTGGGTGTGGAAAGCAAGAAATAAGATTAATATATAGGCAAGTCTGAAGCACCACAGCAAAACCCCTTGGTATAATTAATACATATTAAAAAAGAGTCCATGACGGGTAGCTGGGAAAGTGGCTTAGCGGTTGAGTGCTTGCCTAGCATGCATGAAGCCCTGGGTTCCATTCCTAGTACCACCTAAAAATGGGGGAAAAAAAACAAGTGATAAGTGGCTGTGGCTCAAGTGGTAGAGCCTTGAGCAAAAGAAGCTCAGGGACAGTGCCTAGGCCCTGAACTCAAGCCCCAGGACTAGCAAAAAAAAAAAAAAAAAGTGACAGGAAACTAAAACATGCTCTGTTGGGGGGGGGGGGAGGGGGGGAGGGAGCACGTAGGGAGGTAAGGATGGATGAATATGATCAAAAGATCCTTTGTATATATGAAAATGGAACACTGAAACCCGTTGAAATAGTTTTAAGAAGAGTATGGACTGAGGGACTGTGCTAGAGGAGGTAAGGTTGATGGGGGACATGGTTTACATGTGTGAAAAGGTCACAGTGAAGCCCCTCCTCCCCCATACAATTGATATGTCTGATTATCAAGTGAGATGAATTAACTTGAATTAAAATGCTGTGAATTAACTCTCCAACTAAAGGGCTTTCTTTTTTAATTTGTCAGGTGTTGTTTGCAGGTACAGGGGCCTGAACTCATAAGCTTCAAGCTGCTTTATTCATCCTGCTTGTTCACAGCTGGCCCTCTTTATCATTTCTACCACACCCAGCTTTTTGGTGGATATTTCAAAGGTAGAATCTCAAGAATTTTCTGCAAGAGCTTGCTTCAAACCTCAACCCTCCAGGCCTCAGCCTCCTAAGCAGCTAGGATTACAGGTGTGAGATACCAGCACCTGACTCTTTGAATATATTGACCACATTTGATTTTTTTTTTTCCTCAAATAGGTCCTATTTGTGGGACTCCAGTTCAGATAGCAGTTTGTCACTGACAAAGAAGTGCAAGCCAGGCTCATGTTTGTAATCGTAGCTACTCAGGAGGCTGGGATCTGAGGATCATGACTTTTTGTTTGTTTTTGGCTTTGTCTGTCATGGGGCCTGAACTCCAGCCTAGGCGCTGTCCCTCTGCTCTTCAGCTCAAGGCTAGCGCTCTACCACTTGAGCCACAGCACCACTTCCAGCTTTTTTCTTTTTGCTTATGTGGTGCTGAGGAATTGAACCCAGAGCCTCAAGCATGCAAGGCAAGCATTCTACCACTGAGCCACCTTCCCAGCCCCCCCACTTATTTTTTTTAACACAAAACATATAAGATCCTATCATCTTATTTAATGATTTGCCCTGACTTCTAGAGGGAACTTTAGTGAACAAATGTTGGAGGTCATTCACTTTAGAGAAACCCCTCCCCCAAACAGCATCCCAGCAAGGATGAACAACTTACCCAAGCCCACCCAGTGGAAGGCAGGAGGATCTCATTTGAAGCCAGCCTGGACTACTCAGTGAGAACCTACCTCCACACACATGAATGTACACATATACACACACACACACCGAGGCAGTCTGAGGTAGTAGCACTTCTCAGAGCCTTGTGGCATTTTTAAAAATTATTTGCTTATTAAAGGAATGTAATAACTCACAAAGCCAGATTTCTCAGGAAAATAAGAAACTGCTCTTTCCAATTATTGCAATCTTATTTTTATTTAACCTTGTGTAAAGAACATTAATATATGATTTATCTTTCCTGCTGTGTTGCGAATAAAAGCAAGCACATGCAAATAACCTTCATAGCCATATGAATCAGATTTGGAGGGCTGTAGTCTCAGAAGGCTGAAGCAGGATGACTGCGTTCCTGGCTGGCCCATTCTACATGGCGAGACCCTATTTCAAAGCCTGCTTTCCCCATGAACTCTCTACAATCTCAGCAAATGGGAATTATTCACTCTGAGGTGATCAGAAAGCCTGAGCTAAATTCATATACCCTTCCTGCTACTGGGAAATCAAACTGTCCAGTGAACACATGACCAGGGACTGATGAAGGCCTAGGTCAAAGTGGAGAGAGGAAAATGTAATAACGAAGCAACCCTCAGAGTGGGCAGGCAGTTAAAAAGACACTTTTGTCCTTGTTACTGCTGTTGCTACTCCTTGGGAGCAAATGTTAGCAAACAGGGATGGAAGAGGCCTTGGGCTTTTGAGTCACAGCTTTGTTCAAAAAGTTGCCCACACTTAAAGCTATATCACTCCAAATTTTATTTATGTCTGTGTCTGGGGGTACTAGGGTTTAAACTCAGGGACACACACTCTTGCTTGGCTTTTTTGATCAAGTCTGGCACTCTGCCACTTGAACCACACCTCCTTTTCTGATTTTTTTTTGCTGTTTAATTGAAGATGAGAGTCAGATCTGTCTGTCCCATCTGGTTTTGAACCTTGATCCTCAGATCTCAGTTGCCTACCTAGCTAGGATTATAGGCATGAGCCACCAGAACCCAGCTTTTTTATTTCCTTGTAATTCCCATTTCTCTGTTGACTCCAGACAATTTCAATGTGTCTTACGTGCACGTTTTCTTGCAAAAATATATTGTTCTGTGTGTACTTATCTTAATGAAAGGCTCCATGTTGCCATAGGTCCATTGCTACTAACCTCTGGTATCTTGCAAAGGGGCTCTGAGTTTGGGTAACTGATTTATTTTCATTTAATTTTTGACAGTTTGCCAACAAGCACTTAGTTGCTCACATTGTTTTTGTCTTAAGAGAGAGAAAACTTGTCTCCCAGATGGTGAGAACCAATTGAAATCTACATAGTTTGTGAACAAGACATAATCTTAGGGGGAAAAAAAATCCAGGCTGGCCAACTAACATAGCTCAAAAAAAAATGTTTTACCCGATTTAGCTAAAATTGCATTAAGTCACACAATAGATATGAGATGAAATCATGTTGGTGACTCACTTCTAATCAGAATACTGGAAGGGACTCAGAAACAGGAAAGTAACCACTAATGTCACACATCCAATTCAGTGACAGATCAGTGAAACAATGTAGAATGGTGTGTCCGATATAACATATACAGCAGCATGCCTTCACTCCCAAAGTTTGCAAACGTTACCCAGGACTGAAGCAGAAAGAGAATAGAATTCTGCCCATGTTACTGGCGTCTTCGATAACATATCCATGGCAACACATAATACTGTAAACACTCTTCAAACCCAAGGGTTTTCTTGCCATTGGCTAATAGTACAGCGATAATACATTGCACATGTACACACGATAGGGGTATTTATAACATCTGCACAGCTGGCTTCCAGACTTATTTTCTGAATATTTCCTAGGAAACCAAAAATATCCACATTATGCAATTTCAGAGTTTAATGTGTCACTAGTATTATCCTGGTGTCCTGTCACGTTAGCCACCAAACACATTTTGACCAGAGGAGGATCCCTTGTGCAATCCCATCATGCCCTTTGAGTCTATAGGCATGGTACAGATTAGCTTCCAGGTTAGCTAGAGCAAGCAGTCATTTGTGTTATGGAAAGCCAGTCATTGGATTTAACCCTTTGGTGCACCAAGCCCATTTTTCCCACTTAGAAAGTATGACCTAATGAATCAGTAGCTTGTTTAGAGTCAGAAGCCGTGAGTGAGTCAGCAATCAAACCTAGATCCCTGAGACTCCAAAGCTGATATTCACAACTTATCTCCAGAGCTTAGTGGTTGTAAATGACAGATGAAGCCACAGCACAAAGTGAAATACAATTTTCTGTGAAATAAATATTTAAATAACCTATACCATCTAATTTCTTTCAAGGCCTCAAGGATCCCAGGCAGGCACTCAACCACTTGAGACATCCAGACCTAAACCAGCCATTTTTTTTTTTGTCATGGTGCTTGAACTCAGGACCTGGGTGCTGTTCTTGAACTCTTTTGCTCAAGACTAGCACTCTACCACTTTGAGCCACAGCTCCACATCTTGTTTTTAAGTGGTTAATTGGAGATAAGAGTCTCACAGACTTTT